GGATCTCTGTGAGTTGGAGGCCAGCCTGGACTACCAAGTGAGTCCCAGGAAAGGCGCAAAGCTACACAGAGACACCCTGTCTCAGAAAAAAAAAAAAAAAAAAGAAAAGAAAGAAAGAAAGCAGGCTGAGAGCAGGTGGTGGTGGCAGCTCATGCCTTTAATCCCAGCACTAGGGAGGCAGAGGCAAGCGGATCTCTGTGAGTTCAAGGCCAGTCTGGTCTACAGAGCGAGTTCCAGGACAGCCAAGACACAAGGAGCAAACCTGTAAGCAACTTTCGCCCATGGCCTCTGTTTCAGTTCTTGCCTCCAGGTTCCTACCCTGCTTGAGTTCCTGGCTTCCCCCAGCGATGGACTATGATCAAGATTTAGAAGCCACAAGAATCCTTTCTCCCCCAAGCTGCTTTTGGTTCATGGTGTTTTATCACAGCAGTGAAAGTTAATATAAGAAATAGAGGTATTGTCCTTAGTGGTGTCGCCACTGGTAAGGAACCCATGCTCATGGGAATAACCACTGAGTCACACAGAGGAAGGGGAAGAGAGGGAGACAAAAGGGACTCATTGGGAAGAGAAGCAAACGGGAGTTAAGGGGGACAGGAGGAGTAAGTGGGGAGTATGGTCCGAATACATTAACCATATATAATTAATATATGCTAATGAAAGAACTTATTAAAAAAATCCCATCTTCATTCTTTGCAGTGACCCAGGAGTCATGATTTCTTCCCTCTTTTTATGGCCACAGCCAGAGACCGTCACCTCACACACTGGACCCAGAGAACCTCTTCCTACCACAGGCAACGCCTGGTGCAGAAGAAGGAAGCCCCCAGGTTCAGGGTCAAGTCTTCGAGTTCTGCACTACTTCACTCCCATGTGTGGCTTCCAACACGCTAGTTACCACCCCTGAGCTCACACTGATCACCTGGGAAGGAGCAAAGGCCACTGTCCCTGCAGGCTGAATGCAGAGCGCAGGGGAAGGACCTGGGTTTTTGTTTTGGCTCCTGTAAAGCTTCCCTTCAGACCATGTGTGTGTTATTTATTGAGACACTGAGGGGCTCCTGCTGACCGGCCCTTCATTTGAAAGCCTTTCAGAATTAGAAAATTAAAATGTATTCTGATAGCAAAGCTTGCTTAGGGAGAAGAAGGGAACACTCGTTATTTATTCTGCTTGCATGGAGTTCTCAGGAATGCTGAGCCAGGAGACCTGGGTTAACTTCACAAACTCCCCTTCCCGAGGCAGGCGAGGAGGCTTGCAGATGGGGCTCAACTGCCCGCCATAGTAGTGGCAGCAACTGCTACAGAATCTCATGCTGAGAGGGCTGGGGCAATGGCTGAGTCAGGAAACTGCTTGCCTTGCCAACAGGAGGGCCTGAGTTCCATCCCCAGCATCCCACGGGAAGGAACCTCCATGTGGCGGCACACACTTTGTAGTCTCAGTGCCAGGGAGGCAGCGACAGGTGGATCTCCGGGGATCACTGGACAGCCAGCCTAGCCTACTTGTGAATTCTAAGCCAATGAGAGACCCGGCCATAACTAAAAACAAACAAGCAACCAGGTGCAGTGTCTGGGGAACAGCAGAGAAGGTCATCCTCTGACCTCCACATGCACCCCACCACCTGAATGCATACTTGTGCCCACAACACACACAAACATGCGCACGCGCGCACACACAAAGGCTCTCATGTAGGCACTCATACACACTTAATTACTATTATTCTCTTACTCCCTCAGCTCAAGTAAATTCCAACCAGGAGACAGTGCCTGAGACTTTACTGTCAAGAAAGAACATCCACATATTCTCAAAATTATTGTTAATTAAATGTTGAATGCCTTTTATAGCTGGCAATATAAATAGCAACATTTATGTGGGTGGGATTTTATTTTTATGTATTATGTTACACATTTTCTAGTAAATTGGTGCTCTTTTCACCATAAAAACACAACATATTTATTCTCACTGCGTAGCAGAACAGCATTCTTATTAAAATTATTTGAGGGGCTTAGCACTCGGGAATATTACTTTACGATGCCGGCCATATCTGTGATTTATCTGATGTGGAGGGTTAGGGCTGAAGCTGGGGCCCTTGCTTACTACTGCTGCGAAATGCAGGGCGATCTTAGAGCAAAATCCTGAATGGTGGGGGATAGGCTCTGATAAAAAATACCCCTTTATTTATTTGTTTGTTTGTTTATTATTTCCTCAGCAATGACATCTGGGAAGAGGGCTTGAAGCAAGAAAGATCAGAGGTAGAAATCGGATGTATCTGATGGCTGCCTTAATGAGAACTAGGGAAAGAGGTGGAAAGAAAGAAGAGAAATAGCCAGACCAAAGAAAGAGAGAAAGGAAGGAAGGAAGGAAGGAAGGAAGGAAGGAAGGAAGGAAGGAAGGAAG